CTGCGGACTTACAACGCTAGAAACCGAGTTTCGATACCCGTGGTGGACAGAGCACAGATAGCCCTTGTGTAGCTTTGTGCATAATTAAAAACAAACAAACCCGCCAAGGGACGGGTACTTCAGCTAGTTTGAAGTAATATAAAATCATTTGTAGTTATTGTACAATTGTATTTTGATTAAATGACGAAACTTTAAATAACTAAAATACAAAGAAAAGAAAGAAGAACCAAATGTTTCGGCGGTGAGTGTTTCCTTCCTGTATTGGATGATCGTTGAAATGTCGTCCCTCTCTATTTTAGATAAGATGGTTTTTAAAGTAATGTTACCTGGTCTCAGGAAACAACTGTGTTTTATAAATAACGTAACAACAGACAGTACTAGCTTTTAACTGACGTGTTTGATTTTTCAGGGTGCAATTTTACAGTCTAGTTTGTAATTTAGAAACGATTTTTTTAAACCATATTTTGACAACTTCAACAGAGCAACATTTTTACAATCTCTAGGAGTTCAACGCCTGGTTCGTCTTTGTAAAGATGAAAAGGAAAGGAATCATAGTGACTCAGTTTTGGTTGCCTGCTTGGTAAGCGTTTATTCACTTTTTATTTAATTTGTCTAAATCCAAGTTTAATCACTCAAAATTAAAATATTTCTTGTATGTTTAAAACATTTTTCTTACCAGCTCCCTGCCCATTATCACTGACATTGAATTTTTTTATGTGTTGAAGAAATAGCAAATTACTTATTCAAATTGTTACCGTATTATACTAAACATTACAGAGAGGTTCATGTTCAACATTTCAAAAAACAAAATTTTCCATTTAGAAATTTGTAAACAAATTTTGTTTGGTATGCATCTACTAAAAGTTACTTTAGTAAAACTTTATAAGTGACACTGAAGCGTAATTAATGTATTTATAATTATGTCGTGTAAAAATTCTTAACGAAACCTAGAAGATGTAAGGTTTGAGTTGTTTAGAGTAAAACAAAAAAATTGTAAAATAACTGTCTGTTTACTATTGTAGATAAGGTTTCAATAAATTATGAAGTTTAAACAGCACCTAAGAACACGTAGAAAAGAAAAAATACAATCCTGGTACATGAAAGTATAGTAATTTAGAATATAAAGGCTTAGGTGGTACAAATTCAACCATAAGCATGTTAATGTAGGTCTAGGTAGAGACTAAAAATAAACCAAATGTTCTTCAACTTCATGTCTATCCTTTGCAGGCAGCTCTGAAAAAAATCGCCACAGCCTGTGGAACAGAAGAGTTCGTCAAATTAGAAGCAACAGAACTTGTTAAAGAAAAACTATGGGACTCATTTCAGAAATATTCTTCCAAACATGAGAGTTTCGTCTAACCGTCAGATATTCATATTCCACATTTGATTTGTTAAGAGGAAAGCAGCAGAACAAGATGAAGAACATATATCGGAATTATTCCAAACATACTTCTTCAAATAAAACACATTTTTTTTAGACAATCAGTTTTGATATTCATATTCCAAGAGAATTTTCCAGCTAAAGCAAGACATATTTTTCGAAGAAAATGTGAAAATAATCACAGAGTTACTTATTAAAGAAGAAAATGTGGAGATAATCACAGAGTTACTTATTAAAGAAGAAAATGTGTAGATAATCACAGAGTTACTTATTAAAGAAGAAAATGTGGAGATAATCACAGAGTTACTTATTAAAGAGGAAAATGTGAAAATAATCACAGAGTTACTTATTAAAGAAGAAATTTTGTTTTGATATTTCTATTTCAAAATAGTTTGTCTATCTATGAAGAACGGGTCCTTTTGAAGAAAAATTACGTGATACATTCTGAGCTAGCTTCAGACATGACTTTTTTCCTTAGATCAACAGTTGTGAAAGTCATAAATTCCTTACGTCATTTAGTGTTCTAAACCATTGAAACGTTATGTCACAGTTAAAAAGCGTTATTGTTTCGAAGTCGTTTATCACCTAAACATGTTAATAAAATATTACGCAGTAACAGCGTTTTGTAAGTATTTCCTTTAATCAGTGACAAAATGCTGAAGTTGCACTTTTACATTTTGGTTATATGGTTGTTAAGATAAAAAGTGTATTTTAAACGTAACAGTTAGTGAAATACTTTAATTATTTTTATGGAATATGATTCACACTATGAGCATCTTTTGTAGTTTGAAGATGAGCATAATTTTTAATTAGTCATGTATATATATATATATAGAATAAATTATTGTTTTTGAATATATTAATATTCACCAAAGTACTTTTATCAGTTTTATTCAAACTTATGATGCTAGTGTTTACGAATCTCCCAGCTATCTGAATTCGACTGTCAATAATTCCCATTATGCTCACGATTAATAATATGGTAAAAAATGAAATTACCACTCGTTTCGATTCCACGACAAAAGCCTTGTTTCAGCTATCTTCTTTACATTCCAACTATGGTCATTAAGTGTATTATTCTGTACGTCACGTGTATTCTGTTCATTGGATGCATAGTTTGTATTCATTGTGTGTATTAGTTGTGTTATTTTAAAGTAGTTGTTGGGTAATTGCGTGTATTACTTCTGTTCATTAGGTGTAATACATTACCCATGTGTATTAGTCCTTCCTATTCATTACGGTGAAACATTGCAATGACAGATTCTAAAGTCATGCACTTTTCTTTGTTAGTTATGTATGAATAACCTCTTTCTTCGTGTGTCTGCCTTGAGTATGGGTGCAAGGCAAGTTAGACTGCAGGAAGTGGAAGTTTGATAAGTTGACGACTGTCTGTCTTGATATAGGCAAGATTTTGAGACTAGTCATTTCGTTGTTAACGGATCGTTTATTTTTAGAGAATAAGCAAGATTAAATTGATTTTCAATAATACGAATGTAAACATATCTATAATCGAATTTGGTGTTAGCAATTTTTCTTTATATCCTATTACAAAAAGAAACTAATTTTGAAATGGCTTAAGTTTATTAAACTTTTTGTTAGCTTACTTTTAATTTTGCAAGAAGCAGATAAAAACAGTGAGTATATTGTTTATTTTTCTTAACGTTTTAAATGTACGTCTTCACGAACTTAAAGAGCTTATGGAAAGTTGTAATTTATACCATGATATTAGCTATGTACTTTTACAATTACGTTCTTGTATTTTGGTTTAGAAGAACCGGTAGAGAACTATTGGTAATCTCTAAAGATAAACAATACATTTATTTTTATGTATAACTGTACAGAATTCTACAGTATTGAATTTTTTCATATTAAAAATGTCAAATATATGCATTATATTAAATATATATGATATTGTATATAGCAGATGTTGTTTTCTTAGTGCAAAGCTACACAATGGGCTATTTGTACTCTATCTACTGCTGGGAATCGAACCCCAGATTTTTTCCATTGTAAGTCGGTAAACCTACCGCTGACTCACTAGAGGACTGTACATAATAAAAGAAATGCCAAATAATGATTTAGAATAGTAAATTGAATGACTACTGATCTAAAAGTGTGTCAGATGTCGTAAAAACCTTTCCATAACGGCATCCAGTTTTCCAACAAAATTTGTATTTGCAAAAATAAAGTTGTTCAGTTCGTTTTACCACACACAAGACTCAATGAAAGGAATTAAAACGAAAGCTAAAGATTATAAGTTTAGAAGCGGGTATATTTCACCTAGAATTACCCATTAATACTTTGTTAATTATAAAGTCCCTAAAACATGCAAGTCGCACCCACAAAAATAACACTATATATTTTACATAGAAAATGAGTGATTCCATCTACTCACTAAGTTGTTTGATCAGTTCCGTACACTGATTTTTTTAACATGCAAAAATACATACAAAAAAGTACTCAATATGATGTAATATATGGATTCACCAGTATTAAACGGTGTAAAAACAAGTTAATAATTTAGGGTTAAACGAGCGTTTATAACTCACTAACGCTTTTTTTTGTTGTTGTTTTAAAGATTAAATTAACTAAATTACCACATTTTCATCTCACTTCTATAGTGTTATTACAAGAACTGTGGTAGCCTCCAATTAAAAACAACCCAAGAGTGATTTGCCAATCAGTATGTAGTAATTAGAATATTTAATAAAGAAAACCAAGTGATATTTAAATAATGTTTGAGATCAAAACTTAACGATGAAAACAAGCTAATTATTTGATTAAGGATAATGAAAAATAAGATTTATTATTGAATTAATGAAAATGTTGAAAAAACTCTGAAGCATAAGAAACTAATTCATGTATAAAATTTGATAAATAGTTTATCTGATATTTTCTCCTAATAAATCCATTTATTAAATGGTGTTACATTACAATGTAAAAGAACAAATGAAATGATCCCAGAGATCGACAAAATTATATTTATTTTTATATTTTTTTATAATTTTATTACATCTTTTAACAGCAAATACCGAGAGAGAACAGATACCAGTAGAATTAAAGAAATTTACAGCTGTATCCACTTTTCACAATTTTTTGTCAATGAGTTCATTCGATATATTTCACTGACAAACCAGCTCGAAGACAAGCGGAAACGAATGACAAAAGCTATTACAACAACATTAACAACTCAGATTTAAGACGGAAGAAAGCTGAAATATTTCTAACCACTTCCTTCCAGCAATAATAGCTGTCGTTTCCTTTGTTTTATCTTAGTGCATTTTAAAGATAGTGCAATCTTCCTTTTCTTAACGTTATAAAGCTTATCGTTCTTATTATTTTCTTAAAGCACCCTAAAACTGAATTTTCACTCATTTTGACGACGTGAAGCCTATGACACTTTTTTAAAAATTATGATAAAGCACTAACATAGAAGTGTACACAAAAATGACATGATATAAGATTACTTTTTAGCGAATATATTTTTGTAAACTTGCAGACCATATAGTATACAACAATATACTAATTATAACAAAAGTTTTATGCACTTTATAAAAACCATTTCTACAATTCACAACACACACAACTGAGTAAATGTTGTGTTTAAGGACGCACAAGCCAAAGAGCAAAAAGTTAACAGAAGGAAAACTGAAAAGTATTTTAAGATATGTAAAAAATATATAATTAAAACCATCACGCATTGCTTGTCAATCTTTCACCGAGTCGTCGATTTCTGTCCACAAACTCCATCGTTCTAGGCCTCACAGTAAAGTATGGAAACAAATCATGTTATAAAGCTTTATATATTTTCCTTTTTCGAACGATATGATACTTATTAGGTTGTGATTAGGTATTAAACTGAATATTCTGGTGCATGCACACGGATAGGAAAATAAAACTAAGTAACGAGTCTGTTTTCGCTTACAAAACCTTAGCACGATCTGTTTTACAATACAATTAATAGCATTCGTGTAGAAAATGTACCAAACATTACACATACTGTACTTATAACAACCTGAAACGTAGGCTATTCTTCTGAAAGTTAGTACATAAGATATGCATTTTGTATATAGGTTATACAATTAGCGTCTACATTAACTGGGTTTATTATCTTATTCACTTTACAATTACCCTCGGTTATTTTTTCTCGTTCTTAAATTGTAAAGCAAAATTTCAGTGCGAGTAACCCAAAATTTAACACTGTTTGTATATTACTAAGTTACTATATCTTGTGAGGGCCACAGGTGAGTCTTCTCTTTGCACAGAACATAAAGCATTTCTCTTCCTCTTATATCAATGATGCCAACACCACCTTCCATGTCTGATTCGTCAACATTATCTTTGAACTGATTGGCTTATAACATTTCTGAATCAATCAATTAATTGTAAGAGAACACTGATAGGTTATGAAATTTGTGATTTTCAACGTAATTTTTTACCAAATACTTGTGTTATAGAGAGTTCAATAAATAAACTACAAATATACAATGAGAGACATATAGTTTCAAGTTGTTAATACTTATTTGAACCAAAACAATAAAATGAAAGTCATCAAAAATTTATAAAATAACAGCAGAATAAAGAAACAACAGTAATCAAGGTGTTTGTGTATCGGTTCAAAATCTGATATCTCGGAACTGTACAAAGTAACTTAAATTTTCCTCCCAGAGAAGATTTGTACAAACATTCAAGTCTAACCCAAAATAAAAAATACATAAAGTATAAAAAACATGACTAATTGAAGTATTTTGAATGTTACTTGTGTCGAAAGGACTACTCGTATGGTAAATATCACAACCATCCCAGATATGAAGTTATTTTTTACGATGTTTGATTTGTAATTATCAATTATATTTCACCAAACACTATGGTAGTGTTTGGTGAAATAAGTCTTCCCTAAGTCTTTTGATCCAATTTATTATTAAAGCATTCATAAAAATTCTCTAGATGTCTATATAAAACTTTTAAACAAGATTGGTTGTTATTTTCTACTTAAAAGTAATATTCTTAATCCATTATAACACTGTTCTTTCTTTTGAAAGAAAACTTCCATCTTAGATTCAAAGTCAAAATCCACCTGTCAATATTTAAGTGAGGGTTTACTTTAATGTCAAAACTCTTATATAGTTGTTAATTATCTTTACACATTTAACAACACAAAACAAGTTTGTTTATGCTGTCTTGGCTCCAACAGTGCAATAATTCACTCATTAGGTGTACACAAAAACACTAGTACAAAAAAGATTAACTTCTGATGTCTCCTCAGACGTAGACGCTCTCATCTAACTGATATCTGTTGTAATCAAATAGTAAGCTACCTCTGCCATTAGAATTACATACCTAGTTAGATAAATAGCAATTATAATTGTTTTTCTCGCTTGGAGTGTAAATTCAAGCTAGAGGAACCTGCTCGTTCATAGTGTTCCTCCTTCTGCCATATGAATAGGTTTCTATATCTTCAACAAATTCAATACTAACCATACTATTTAACATTACATTGTAATAACGGATTAAAAAGAAAATAAACTATTAGGAAACTTTAAATTTCCACCTGACGTTTGGAGAAGTACTGCAAAGTTAATATAACTTCTATTCATATTATTATTTTTACAATCATGACAATAATATCATCCAACCTCATCTTTGTCAAAAGTTAAACACTTTCATATGAGAGCAACTGCAACCAATTATTATAACGTCAAAAACCGAAAAATATGGCACTAACGGTTATCCCTAATATTACTAATCGGAATAATTACTTTGGAACTAACGTTTAAAAAGAGATGCCACAAAAAGTATTTTTATGGTTATAGAGATCAGTTGATCAATTTTATCAGATACACTTGATAACATCTAGCATAAACGCAACCAACACATACCAACTGGCTCAACGAAATGACATTTTTTCATAGTTAACCTTCCAAAAGATACGTTAAGTGTAATAATCCTGAACTAAAATAACATTGAAGGTTATATGAATTTAAGCCATATATTAATCTACGGACTTTTTCCTGTAAAAAATGTCAGCCTTCAAGTTTCTTTCGTTAAAAGAGCTCAAGCATCACAAACTCATAACAGTAACATTACTTTGATCGTCAAACGTTACTTTCAGTTTTTATGCCTCTAATATTACATTTAAACCCGTTTAGTCGATACGCAGACTTTCTGTATCACAGTCTCAGATCTGAAATAACAACATGTAACGTGTTTCTCATCCAATGACAATTGTGTCCAACAACTTTATCATTCAACTTTATCCTTCTCACAGAGTTGGGCGATCGTAAAGGTAGGGAGTTTAGCATTTGGCACAAACACGTTACAAACAGAGAAGAAACTGTAACAGTTCTTCATCGGTGGACAAGTGGCCTGTACCAACCGTATAGTTTCACGCTTCCTGATACATCCGTGTGGCTGGATATCAGCAGGCTGTACTCTGGAGAAAGAATAATATAATAGCAGATAAACCTTAAAAACAAAGCAACACATATATTAAATATAATACTAGGTGAAAATGTATTTGTAAAAAAAAAAGAATCAATAGTTATTCCATTACAAAAAAATATGAAGTAGTACTATTGTATAATATAGTCTAAGAAGTGTGACGTAGATTGGAAAACTCTATAAACAAGGAACCACAGATTAGGGCTATTTTTTATTTTTTGCTAGCTGATAGAATCTTGATAGTTTTGTCCCGTTTTAGACAGTTCAGTGCGCTGCATACCTTTTCAGTGATATTCGGTTTTGGTTTCTTAGCATTCCTGAGGATGGTGTAAGTTTGATGTTGGAATTGTTCAGCCATATGTTTCGAGAGGTTTTGTGTAGCATCAAGAAGAAACAAGTCCAAAAATTCAACAGACTTACCAAGAATGATAATCCTACGACTACAAACATAGTTCACAATTACAGTTCGAGACTACTAAGTGATACAGAAAACAAGATTCTTAACATGGGTCTAAACTTCGCCATACAAACTAGCACAGTTCCAACTGTTTGACATAGCTGCAACCTTATAATATGCTGCAAAGGAAACACTATAGATATCCTCGATGTCAAAAATTATGACACGAAGATTAAGTAGTTACTAAACACCAATTACTCTACAGAAAAGACAGAAAGACTCAGTAGAACACTGAACAAACTTAAGAAACAAAATTTAATCAACGAGAAGCTAGCCAAGATTTAAGACCCAACGTCAATTCCCCACCTCAGTTTTGTGGACTACCTGAGGTACACAAACCTAATATACCTTTAAGGATTGTCAGTACTATAAACTCACCTTGTCATCAACTAGCCACCTTCCTGGTACCTATCCTATCTCCACTACGAGGAAACACCGAACATCACATTCAAAACTCGACAGATTTCATAGAACAACTCAGAAAGCTACACACAGATCCCAGAACATTCTGGCCATTTTTGATGTCACATACCTATTTACCAATGTTTCAATCTCAGAAACTCTTCATATGACCAGATAACGACTGCTGAATGACTACCTCGCCCACTGCCGACCAATTTACCCAAACAAGCCGAGACACTGACTCCCGGAAATCAAAGAGGTATCCACATGAACACATATTATCACTTTTGCCACCTAGTCTACGCATGCCATGCCTCATGCAAGAAGAAAATCCACGCAAACTCAACCATATCCACTGCCAACCTTCCTGTAACTTTCTTCAACGACTCCGGCCCACATGCCTATACCCATCGATCTTACGATACCTTTATACTTCTATCACTTTGACTCAACCTACCATGATTATAGCGAAAGCGACGATTACGATTATGCCTTTCCAAGCTAACAACGTCCTGATCACAACTATCTTCTGAGAAACTAACCCTCGCTTTCTCAACCACTGACTTTCTTTTCGGTTCAGGACTTTTCTCGGACCATGAAAGTGGGTTTTCTCGGGGCACTACCATTTTCCTCCACAGCAAAATTCTCTGGCTTTGGATTTATAGATCCCTGCCGCCCTAAAGGACCCTTTGTCCCACAGGGGCTTTTTGGTTTCTGAAATCTGGGTCTCCCATATTTATGGCTATTCGGAATCCTCCAGGCTGCTTGAGACACTTCATATCTGCCATGTCAACACAATCTTCTTTAAGTAAGCTGAAACCACAAAACTTCAAGTACAGCCCACACCAGCATCACGAGAGGGGCGAAGAGAAGCTAGAGCTTCTGAGTACCCCCCGAGGTTTCACCTCGGAGGATATCATACCGAAATTCCTGCCACGTATTGATGTTGTTGTTTACAAAACAAAGCTATGTCCGTGTCAAAGTAGCTTTGTTTTTTCGAATGTATTATGGATGATCCGAAACCCAGAGTGTCTGAAATCAGTTATATCAATCAGATTCGCCAATATTAACCCACGCGTTTTAATAATTTTAAGCCCAATGGCTCAATTGAAAGGTTTTAAACCTAAATTCCTGCCACGAAGCTTGTTTTATTTTGTTAAAAGACGAAAGACGGAAGACTTTCGAAACCTCGTCCTCTACACTTATGTTTCTACAACAGGCAATTGCCGTCCATTTAACTAAATTCTATCAGTTATAATATCCTTCTTAGTAACTACATACAAAGAAAACAACCACGATATGTGCTTCAATGACTACAACAGAAACATTTATTATAATATCCTTCTTAGTAACTATAAACAAACAAAATGATAATTATAATATCTGCTTTATTGACTACAACTGAAAATTAATCGTCATATTTGCCTTACGAAGTACAAACAAATAATGTAATAACAATACCCGCTTTATTATCTACGACACAAGAATGCATTCACAATATCTATATTATTAACTATAATGATGGTTTCATGCTATTAAGTAATATGTTCGCCTTAATAATTGTTATATGAGAAGGTAACAACCCAATACAAGTGGCTCACGATACCGTATAATAGTGAAATTATGCACAAAAGAAATAATTCACTACCAATTTTAGTTTAAATTGTTTATTTCTGAAATTGCAGACGAAATGACGTTTTACGACCCAAGTTATCAGCAATAAAAATGTAATTACGTTCAACTGAAATACAGACAGTGTTATTAAATACAAGCATGCATTATTATGGTTACTTAAATGCCAGATCGCTTGCACTTTTCTTCACACAAGCATTTTTATCTTCTGAAAACCAAATTGTCCATTTTGATAAAATACCTTTTACGTCTGTTCTTTAATATTTAGTAACTTAAAGTTAATTCTTCTTGGAAAGAAGCGGTGACCTACATTCAAAACTTTTTCACACAAATCAAATAATAAGAGTTGTATATATCTTTTAATATTTCTGGTTATTTTTCAACGTTAAATACCAATACTAATTATAAAGTCGTTTTAATAACTTCTTAAGCCTAAATATGTGATATGAACACCAAGAGTAGCTACCGCCACCTATGAACATGTATAAAATAAAGATTTCCACTTACAGATAAATAATATTACCAAATAATTAGAAAAGAAAATGAGAAAAGGTATTTATTGCGGTGCTTATCAGTGTACATACTCTCTGAGGGTATATATTTCATGACTATTTTTAAAAGGTTATTTCACCTAAAATATTTTTCATTTCAAAAATATAAATACTTTTGCCAGCTTAAACAAGTTAATATTCCTTATAAACAATCAATTTTAGAATCAAACGAAGTCAGAGCAATAAATGTTACCAATGTGTATTCTTTTTTTACATGTGATTATATTAGTTTAGAAATTTTAGATAAACAATAAATTTTAACAGATTACATTGTTTGGAATGTCTCCTTTCGAAAGCTGCCAGTGGTAGCCTACTGAACATCACTAGAAGCAAGTTTAGTGAAGACAGATGGAATAACCCATTAATTCATACAATTTATATTTTTTACCCCTCCTGGTGATGTTTTAAAAAAATAATGAATATCATTAATATGTTTTATTTTGATATGTTTTCTGTTTGCAGAATCTCAACCGAATTATGATGAATCATTTGAAGATACACAGTAATGTTCATGATGCCATTGTGTTGTTACTATTGCCATCTGATGGCAGTTAACTGAAACGGTTGTTATAAATAGGTACAATACCAAAACTGATTTAAAAAAATCGAAATAAAGACGTACCTTCGAGTAGCGCCTTTCGTTGACGTTTTATAACTAATAGAATTCACGTAAAAATGGTTTGGAATATTTTGTTAGAAGAATTGAACGAGGTCTAACAACTTTCATGTAATTACTGGAAATGTTTCACTAAATTCAGTCTTTCAAATATGTAGACTTCAACCACTCCGGAAAACTGTGATGCAAAAATCTGATTTGGATGTTTTAATACAAATGACTATATCGTTTGGTAACACTAAAGTTATTATTATTTATCTTAACTTTCAAACTTATTAGGAATTCATTAATTTCCTGTACGATTAAGCTATCAAATATTTTCTTAAAAAATAGAAACGACAATGTACCCGGCAAAAATATTTGCTAATATTACAGAAAAATAATAATTGGTGGTATTACTTGATATATTTATTTCTGATTTATTTATGTCATTTATTCAGTGTTGCTTAAAGCTCAATTTTTTTTTTTTTCAGTTGGCTTAAATCGGGTGTTGCACTTAGGGGTTTAGGGTACTTTCTGTACACCCTCTTGGTATTACATTAGTCTAATTATTCGACACTTATTATATTAAGTAAATGACAATTTTTTTACCGTAGACATTGAGTTGGAAGATGTCTGACGAACCTCTTCATGAATAGTTTCCATTTCATCCGAGAGAGAGCATTCTTCTGCAGTGGAAGAATCGTCCTCTTCATCTTTCTTGACTGTAACAGATTCTGTATCTTCTGTACTACGATTTTCTTCTTTCAGAATATTCACCCAGTGCTCATAGTTCTCTTGTAAATGAATGGTGTGGAGACAGTTCACTATCTTAGGCTTCAACTGAGGCGCATGGCGGCGCTGAGTGGAGGTACCTAAACAGGTAAGGAATAAGCCTAGAAAAATTTCAAACGGTCCGACGTGTTTTCGTCATAATTAAAAAAATAATTCGCCATTTATTGCTATTAAAATTTACTTATTAATATTCGCCATTTATTGCTATTAAAATTTACTTATTAATATTACTGGTTGTATTATAATTATTTATACCTTTAGTATACATTAGTGTGCTAAAAGCTGAGAACAAATATTTACTCTTACCAGTTCCACCGTCCCTATCAACCACTTCCTCATCGGTATTTTTACATTCAGACTTCTCTATACGGTCAGCGTCTTCAGACACAACTATTGGATATATCAAATCGAATAAAATGTTTTAGTCTATTTTAGATAAAAAATTGAAGTGTTTGTTGTCTCTGAGTTTTCATGCAAAGCTACACAAGGGCTATTCTGTATGTTCATAGTTCTCCCTAATTTTGAACTAACAAACTAGAAAGAAGACATCTAGTCAACAGTACCAACCACCAGCTCTTGTCAAACCAAATGTTGGGATTTATCCGTAACTCTTATGGCGCACCCACGACCCCAATGTGCGGAGAGTTTTATCGGCAATGGAACGTGAATTTGAATCCTCGGATTCACAGTTTGGAAACACTAACTACTAGACCATACCTCACTCAAATAGAAGTGAACACCTGAATATCATTAATGCTAATTATAGTATGTAGTACAACTGAGCTTTAATCTAATTAATTTTAATTGTGTTCCTCAATATCAAACCGAAGCAGTTGATATAAAAACAACAACAATAAAAATATAAAAAAGTATCCAGGGGGTTAATAAAAGTTTTTCAGAAATTTGTACTATCGACTATCGAAAAAAAAGGCAGGAGAAGTCCAAATTTTCAACATACTACTTCAATGAAGTTAAAAAAGTTTGTGCAGAACCCTTAACTGATATACGATAGTCTCGTAAAACACTTTGACACTTGAAAAAAAATACCATAATATTTTTGTTGTGTGTTAGTAAAACACAAAAGTATAGTATTTCCTTTTATTGGTAACTTATAAAGGACTCGAAATACATCAAAATCACATGTAGATCATACAGTCTAGCAAAAAGTTAAACGACGCGAAAGTACTAATTTCGACATTAGAGGGTTTTCTGTATAATAAATAATTTGTGGCATTCCACTGTTTTTCACAAGCTTAAATATCGCTGCATGAAATTGAAACAAGCGGGAAAATGGTATCAAGTTTGTGATATAAAACGTTTTTCGTTCACTCTAGAAAACACATTAAGCTCAACAATTTGAAAAATATTAGTTCTCTTATTTAGTAACAATGACTCTGAGTGAAAATTATCGTCTGTACTTGCTATAGCATTGCGAAATACATACATAACGTCAGGAGATGTGTTATGTAGAGCGTCACCTGTCGGTATGTTTAATATACTTGGTTTAGTTACGACTGAGTTTCCAGAATCGTTCAATAAAAGCTTAAAACAATATAAGCATGCGTTAGCTATCTCCCCAGAAAATATATCTTGGTATGCAGATAATAAGGAGACTGACGTAATTATGTAATATTCTATACGAAGTGAATAAAAGAATAAGTATCTTCATCATCCAATAAGAAGTATGGGGCTGGGAGTGGCCAGCGGGCCAGGAATGGGAATGTATAAAGTTCAAGCCCGAAATATGCCTTTGAATACGATTCGCTATTTCAAATAAGGGCACTTTGAAGATGACATTCAATGCTCCTAATTTAACAGTTAACCACGTAGGCGGCGAGTGTTTAAGAATTTCTGCGTTTCTTTGGAGCAGAGTTCTAAATTAGGGAGCGCTATGTATTGATATTGGGGTTTCTGACTAATTAACCCATATGTAGGTAAATTGGCGTTCGCATCGAAAATACCAAATACCGAGTATAACACTAGAATCATATTTATTACTTGCCCTACTTATGCTCATTCTATAGGACATTTCATAAGAAAAATGTATAATATTTACTACGAAATAAAATAAGTGCATAACTTATCACGTCTTTCACTTTTTGGGACATGACATATAAATCTTGTCATGTCGTTAGGCATGAGCGAGGTAAATATAACTGCTGAAATAGGTGAAGTCAAGAAGTGGTAGGTTAAGCAGATCCAAGCAGCATACCTATTGTGAATATAATCAACCAAAAGACCCCATCACTTGAACAAGCATTGTATTTAAAGCTTAGTATTTTGAACAATTCAACAAGTATTTTTATTATCCACAATGCATATCATAATAATTTTTTTGAATATTTTGTTTCAATTAATGAAATACAGTTCTTTAACAATAATGCACATGTGAGTAAAGTAAGCGAGACTTAAGCATTTATTGAAAGAAAAACGTACATCTACAATAATTTTACTTACTCATGTAATTTTCATACCCTCTTGGTTAGTTGGTTGACTAACTCCATAAATAACTCCATAATTTTCCTTTCATACCCTCTTGGTTAGTTGGTTGACTAACTCCATAAATAACTCCTTAATTTTCCTTTCATACCCTCTTGGTTAGTTGATTGACTAACTCCATAAATAACTCCATAATTTTTCTTTCATACCCTCTTGGTTAGTTGGTTGACTAACTCCATAAATAACTCCATAATTTTTCTTTCATACCCTCTTGGTTGTTGGTTGACTAACTCCATAAATAACTCCATAATTTTCTTTCATACCCTCTTGGTTAGTTGGTTGACTAACTCCATAAATTATTTCATTTTTGTTTTCTTGTCTTTAAGATTAGAACGAACTGGAAGATACATTGGAGAAAGGGTGATAAAAGTGGGCATATAGTGGTGCCAAGTAGGATTGGATTTGGACAGGGAGGGTTTGACGTGATACCAGCGTTTTCTTTTTAAATTTTTGTTTGAATTAACAAAACTGACGGTTTTAGATAAGGTTTGCCCAAATATTGCAGAAATGTTACAGATTAAATATTTTATCAGATTAGTCTATATTTATTGATTTTTATTAAATAATCAAAATTACCAAATCAGTATATTTCAGTACAGTTCCGAGACAATTTAATAATTTACATTCTTTGCAAAGGTTCTATTGTTTGTTTGTTTTGAATTTCGCGCAAAGCTACACGAGGGCTATCTGTGCTAGCCGTCCCTAATTTAGCAGTGTATGACTAGAGGTAAGGCAGCTAGTCAACACGACCCACCGCCAACTCTTGGGATGTCTTTTACCAACGAGTAGTGGGATTGACCGTCACATTATAACGCTCCCACGGCTGAAAGGGCGAGCATGTTTGGTGTGACGGGGATTCGAACCCGCGACCCTCAGATTGCGAGTTGAGCGCCCTAACAACCTGGCCATGCCGGGCCCAAAGGTTCTATCATTAGGCTATAGAAAAGTTACGAGATGCTCATTCCGGAGGGAATGAGCATGATTTCATTTTCAGAGATTTAAGATCGAGGATACTTTATCCTTTAGTTAGACAGTTATATTTCCAGGAAATAACGTAGCATATAGGCATTCACTATCGACCTCGACATTTCGTAGAATCAATATAAAGCACCGTTATTATTTTTAACAGAGAATCAAATTTTCTTTTCTTTCTACATACCTTCATCTTCGCTGTCAGAACATTCCATCCACTGACCAGGAAGAAGACCTGCCTCTCCGTACGCATTACATAACGGCGCCACCAAGTGGTTGATGAATGATTCTTGAAGCTTGGCCAGTTGTGCGTTATGCCTATCCATGAATGGTGAGATAGGGAGGCCCAAACTGGCTTCTTCGTCACCCTGTTACCAAAACAAAAAAAATAAATAAATATAAATATCTCAAATTTGAATTTCGCATTTTAAATCCAGAATTTTCACACAAATAATGCATAAAATAAAACAACAGTGCACAAGTGATTATATCGTTTTTATTAGATTAGTCAAAGGACGAAGTTTGAGAATGTAAGCTGATCGGATGATTGGTAACATATCAGACTTGCTGTAAATTTAATTACAACAAAATCCTAAAATTGTTTGATTTGCGTGTCAAAACGCTTTTCTGATTTGTTTAGAAACTATGTAAGGTTTTTCTTATCACCACTTTCAGGGTAGGGTTGGATGTGGTCTATTAATTGATGTGTCCGACTATGAAACCAAAGAGAAATGGTTCGCGACCCGTTGCCTCAAAAAAATGCTCCGCATTTGGGGCTGTGGGTGCGATATAAGAGTGACTCAAATTTCGACTACTCAAGACTACGGCTAAAGGGTTGGCGGTGGGTGCTGTTGACTAGCCGTGTTCCATCGAGTCTGTCTATTCAAAATTAGGGATATCTATTTGCACACCGACTAACACTGCTTTACCATTATACCTGTCAAAACTGTCTAAAGTATAAACTAACACTACTTTATTATTATTACACCCATCAATGCTGATTATAAAGTAGTTAACACAGTTGTACCATTAGGTAAGTCCATCAAGTATATCTAAAATATAAACTAATAATGTTTTATCATTGCACCCGTCAATACTATTTATAATATAATAAACACTGCTTTACCATTACACCTGCCACATGATAATAATACTTGTATGGTAATACAAATGTTTGGAAGGTTAGCACGTTTTTTAAGAAATATGCAACTTTCAAATCTAGATTTGTCTTTGAGTATAAACTCAATGAAACTAGGTGGGTATTTTGTGGAGGAAAAACTGTCAAATAAACCTAAATCGTACGATTAATATAAACCAGTGTTTTTTAACCACCAATTGTAAATCGTAATGATTTGTTTGTTGTTGTTGTATACCTGATTCTTAGTGGTCCGCGAGCTGATTCCTGCTATCATAAAGGTTAAGAAAGCCGGTATAATCTGTTTGAAAGTTCTTTTGAAGAGGAGTATTGACAGTATGTCTTTAAAAACATTTTCAATTAGATTTTCTCAGTGAACTTCAAAAACTACATTACATTGTCTCTAGAACGACAGCATATCACTGAGAAAAACATCACTGATAGCTTACAATGTGTTTTATTATTGATGCATTCTTAAAATTTGAAGCTTAAAATACTTGATCATTGAAAACACTGCACGTTTATCATATATTACAGACGTTCAGTATGGATATTTTACAATTTTACGTTTTTATTATTTATGTTTGTTTCAATAATAATTTATTTTTTGTTTGATTACCAACAATATATTCACCTTTATTGAACAACTCATTAGTCAGTCACAAATGTTTCATCTAATTACACATCAATAAAGAATCCAATACAAAAGAGGCTTATGGGAAAGTCTTCTCTACTCCTACGTAATTATTATTGTCCACCAATAATTTCTTATAATTCATTCTTACCGTACCTGCTCATAGAATTCGTCTGCTATTCGATTCGTCCACTGTACATGAATATCGTGTCTCTTGCAGGGGCCGTTAATGTCTGCTAGTTTTATACACATCTCCATTGTAAGTAGTCGGTCCGTTTCAGACAACCAATTTAAACCAGGTGCATCAACATCGTTAACCTTAAACATGGAAGGAATCAAAAGAATATTCACTAAAATATGACTGGCACATATCGTAACTGATAGCAGTTGATTTATAGTCATAAACAATGTATTCATATTTCATAGTTTAAAAATTATATATGTAAAACAAAACATACAAAACAAATGAAAAGAATCGCAGCATTCTGAAAAATCACAGCTCAAATAATGTACCTAACAAACTCTAGAATTACTGCAATATTCAACCATAGGATACCATAAACAGTATTTTTTTTCATTTCTTGCCATATAGTTAAAGTATTGTCATTTTTAATAAATAAAGATTTTTAAAACCAGTAAGTTAACTCGACATAATGCATGATAAATCAATGACGAATTTCATTTATGTTAAGATAATTTTCAGCATAGTTTATGTCGTGGTGTTAAAATATTCTAACGATCTTTTTCTAACAGTTAAGATAGTATAGTTGTTTCAAATTGAAACTAAGAATTTTGTGCAAACATACTTTGGCATTAAACTCTGCTAGAATCTCGAAATGTCTCTTCAAGTCGGTGGCCAGAATATTTTCTATTACAAGAAATCGAAACCTTTTGAATTCAGCCTTATCTAAGTGGCACAACCAATGATATTCAGGTCTGGACAGGAACAGACTCCACGCGGCTGCAGCATGATGGTTTTCCAGCACTGAACGATCATTATAGAGCACCGCCTGGTGAGGAAGGAAAGAAAGTTGGTACATTAATATTTGTTGCTAGTGTTGAATAAGAGCAAAAATTGAAATAACTTATGACTTAAAACGTATTTAAAAGTTGAAAAAGCTCTCATGATTTCGAAAATAATATTCTAAATATGCTGCAAGCTCTCCGAATTTTTTACTTTATCATTATTTGTTCAAACACATACACACATACACTCACACACACATATATATACTGATTCCTATATCAGGACCATATTTATAGAACACTATTTATTTGTATAAATAGGCTGATTACGTGATGTGTAAGGTGCTTGCTTCCGAGATGTAGTTCAGTTTGTATGGTTTCTCGCCTATTATTGTACTTTCGACTTCAACTTTTAATAACAATAATACACTAAAGTAAATAATACAAAAAAGTGCGTGTTAAATAACACTGAATAATTAAATAGAATTAAAAAGGACATTCGTAAATAATTGTCAAGCTAGGCAATGTCAAAATTTTCAACATCAAAAGGACATCATGAAATAAAAATACGTCTAAAACAACGTTCAAAAGCATTAAATTATGTCTTGAATACCATGCTACTGGCTGATCATTTTCTTTCAACTACAGCCAATTCAGAGCCTTTCAGAGTAGGTTCTCGTTATCATCAGTGTATAAACTAGAAACCAATCAGTTATGGTAGGCTTCATCTGGAAGAGCTTATTGTGCCATTGATCATTCCAAACCGCTTGAACATTGGTACGAAGCTTTACCTAAATGTAGGAAATAGGCATATTGAAAGGCCAGGATTGCAAAAAAACTAGTTGTTTGTGAATATTGGTGAGAGAACTGAGTGAGAGCATATATTAAGTGGTTACAGAGCTTCACGAGTTTAAGAAGTTCAGTATAGATGGTAAAATTAGTGTACCGCTTAGTTCGTATATAACCCAGAACAAGCAACATTACACACACACTCAGTAGCGAATAATAATCTGTAGAATGCAGCGAAGTCCACAGAGTCACTTGGTTCTAGGCCTTCCATATAAACCAGTATGGAAGGATGGTTACAGATGCGTTTACTAAACAGAAGTGGACACTTTCAATTTGAAGTATCAGACTTATTCAGGTTACTCAGAGAAAGATCTGTGGAAGATACTTTATCCTTATTTCTGAGCCTCATCTACTGTATTTTGCAACAATCAGGCGTCCATCATGCATGAGAGTAATGTGGAAAACATGTCAGTGTTGTAGGAATGATAAGTACAGGTGTACTGACAATATTATCTGTCACTGTCTTCACTCAATCACTAATGGATGACACATGGTTGGATCAGGCTCTGAGAGAGAGAAAAAGAGAGAAATGAAGGCCTTCTCCAGCTTCCATCTTGGTACATCAGTGGGTAGAGTTAATCATGATCAATTTCTCTCTCAGAATGATGGGGATGTGATCATTGCCTCATGAATCATTCTTCAGCACCCAAGAAAAAGAAGGAAGAATTTAAGATGAACAGATCTATGACAGTACTCGCCTGACTATGGCGTGAAATTAAGTATACATACCATTGTTGAATAGAGAGAGAGAGAGGTCCTGATCTGTGAGCAGACACTCTACAGATATATACTGAGTGGTCACAAGTAAATAGACACCTAATTTTTTGTCAGTTAACTGATTTATGCTAAC